TCAGAGGGCCCCACTAAGCACTGGGAATGGGCCAAGGAACTAGCCAAGCCAGGCCTGTGTAAGCCTCCCTCCCTCCCTCCCATCCAGGCAAGTTGTAGTCAGAAGGAATTGCAGCTTAAATTTTAACATTCAAGAAATAGTTTTAACGAGAAAGAAAAAGATCACTGTGCTCTACCAGAACAAAGGGGTACGTGTGTGGCCCGTGTTCAGATACCAAATGCCTGAGTGCTGATCTTGGCTACGTGGGCTTCACTTAGTGCCAGCCTGCTCACCTATAAAACAGGACTGAGGATCCCTCCGGAGGCTGCTGCACGCGAGGGGCTGAAGAGCCAGGTGTGCTGGTTGGACTGAGTCCTCCCTCGCTCGGACAACCCTTGAATAGACTACACTGCCTCTTGGAACCTCAGTTTTGCCACCTGCTTCATGGGAATCATGAGCATACCTGTGTCTGTGTGCTATGCTTAAACGTGTCCACGTTTAGGTGGCTAGTGAACAGAAGTACCAGCCAATAAAGGCAGAAAGCTGTACCTGTGGTCCAGGCCTGAGCTCCGCCTGGCTCCTCCTCCTCTGGCTCAGCATCAAGTTTGGAAGAGTTTTTTTTTTTTTTTTTAACCTCAGGCCCCAGTCCCAAGCCATGACTCAGTCTGGGGAGGGTCGGGGGAATGGTGGGGGGTTCTGTCCTGAGCCCCTCTCTCTTCTGAGGGCCATATCCACAGGCTTCAGTCAGTCCTGTTTCTTGGAGCTGAAAAACAAAGTTTTCATTCCCCTGTGGCCTCTTCCACTCTCCATGTTTGAGCCTACAGTTTCGTTTCACAAAAGCTAACCATGTTTGGTGCCACCGCCCTCCGGGATACTAGATATGGCTTCTGGTGTCAACTGGAGGCTTAATTCATATTTAATGAAGTCCTCTTGCTTGCTTGGTTGTTGTTTTGCTTTTGTTTTGTTTTGTTTTCAAGAGACAAGGCCTCTCAACATATCCCTGACTATCTTAGAACTCACTATGTAGACCAGGCTGATCTCAAACTTGGAGATCCACTTGCCTCTGCCCCCCAATTGCTTGGATTAAAGACATGCACCACCATGCCCAACCTTCTTAACAGTTCTCAGTTTAAAGAGAATCTTGTCTCTCTCTGTCTGTCTCTCTCTGTCTGTGTGTGTGTGTGTGTGTGTGTGTGTGTTTATGTGTGTCTGTCTATCTGTCTGCCTCCCTACCTATATCTCTATACCTTTATTTCTCTATTTCTCTATCTGTATCTTGGAACCAGGCACACTAGATACCTATATCCCAGAGGATCTTTAATATAATCTAAATAAAATCCAGGCACCTCATGATCTAATATATTACTTACTGGGCTCCATCAAAAAGTTCAATGTAGCAACTAAACCCTGGCAGTGGTAGCACACACCTTTAATCCAGCACTCAGGAGGTAGAGGCAAGTGGATCTCTGTGTGTTCAAGACCAGCCTGGTCTACAGAAGGAGTTCCAAGACAGTCAAGACTATCCAGAGAAACTCAATCTCAAAGAGAAAAAAAAAAAAGAAATTCCAATGATGACTGCTTGCCCTTCTCAGAGGACAGCAGAGATCCAATTCTCAGCCCAGAGGGACACTTTAGGTCTCCTCTCCGTCTCCACTTCCCTAACTGCTATCCAGCAGATGCACCAAGCCTACTGTCTACACAGTACCCTGTGCTTTGTCACTACCCTGGCTCTCCATCACAAAGGAGAATCAAGAGCTAGCCAAGACCCAGGAACGTGCACCCAGCCCTGCACAGCACGGTTCTTACAGACCCGACACACAAAGCTCTAATGAAACTAAAACAGCACACAGGAGAGGGTAGCACAGCCGACCAAGCGCAAAGAAATTCTCTCCAGGAAGAGTGCTCTAGAGACGGTGTGTCGGTCACACTGAATCCCCTCTTTTCTGTCCACAACTCCTGAGAAGGAATTCAGTCACCTCGGCCTCCTCGAGTCCTTGCAGGTGACAGAGCAGACCCGTGTGGGATACAGGACAGAGTGAGGAGCAGGCAACGATCCTGTGGCACTGAGACCCTTGCCTGTCAAAGGCCACTTTGCTTTACAAGGCCCCGTGTTGTCTTTGAAGACAGCATGGTGTGCTGTTGGTAGTGTCTAGTTACCGAGCTTCAGGGGGCTGATGGAAAATAGAGAATGGTCTTCACACCACTAGACTGCTGGTGAACTCAACGTCAGTCCAGGGGACAAAAACCCACCTCCTGCTTAGGGTCCACATCTTTCCTGCAAGACCCAGGGGGAGGGCCCCCAGCATGAGCAGAAGTCGCATGCAGGGACAGTCCTGTGTGATCTCAGGGCTTGGGGCAGGGAAGAGAGTCCTACTTTCTACAGCCAGGTCCGGGCAAGCAGAACTTCTTCTGTCCCAAGCAAATCAATCGAAGTTTTGGCCAAGCCTGTTTGAGTTGGTGAGAACCCAAGTAGGACTTACAAACTGCCAGTGTTTGTTCTGCAGACCAAGAGAGCCAAACAGAAAGGCTGCACTGGGACTCTCCGCCAAACAGCCATTGGTTTACTCTGCCAACAGGGCTGGATCAGCTCTGTGCTTAATCCTAGTTCTCTGCTCCCCAAAGCCTTGTTGCCCTTAAAGGTGGCTTACCAATGCACCCCCTATTAGATGATCCATGGACCCCACATCTGTTGACCAACCCACCTGGGACCTTGATCTCCAGATCTGAGCTTCTGTTTTCACACCCTGAACCGGTTCTATCTGGAGCTGCATTCACACGGGCCGGTGTAGGCTCTAAGATAGGCTCAGCTTCCTCCCTTCCGTCCACCTTACACCCTTACAAGCTGGAGGCAGGGGCAAAGGGGGCCAAGCCCCAGGAAACACTGGGCTGGCAACATCTTTCCTTGCCCTCTTCCATGTGTTCAGTTTGGTCCTTATAACCGGGCAGCTCCGTTCCACTGTCAGAGGCTGATCTGTGGCCTCAAAGACACAGACGCCCTGTCTGAAAAGCTGCACACTTTCCATCGGAACTTCCTGGGACAAGGTTTTCCAGTTTTCGTTCACTTCAAAATACCTGGGGAAATTCCCAAGGTTCCTGACAGGAGCAGGTGGGTGTGTTTACATGTTCCCATTGTCCTAGGGGAACATTTAGGGCCAACAATTAAGAGTCACTTGCTTTGCACTGGGTCCAAACTGGAGCCACTACCTGGAGCCTACCTGCCCTGGCTAAGGGGCTGCCCTTACCACAGCTGTTACTACTTGGAGCCTACCTGCTCTGGCTAAGGGGCTGCCCTTACCACAGCTGTTACTACTTGGAGCCTACCTGCTCTGGCTAAGGGGCTGCCCTTACCACAGCTGTTACTACCTGGAGTCTACCTGCCCTGGCTAAGGGGCTGCCCTTACCACAGCTGTTACTACCCGGAGCCTACCTGCCCTGGCTAAGGGGCTGCCCTTACCACAGCAGCTTCAAGTTCTTCACCGGCACAAAAACCTCAAGCTCCTCCTCCCACCACCACAGGGACACAGATGTTCAACTTTCCTCAGGCCCATGCCTGTGCATCAACACAAAGCCCTCCAATCCAGAAGAAAGACTGATGTCCGCCATCCCACGGGCCCCCGTGGTAGGACACTGTGACCCTTGGAGCTATTTCTCCCCACCTTTGCTCTCGGCGTTCTCACCATATCCTTGGGAGGTAGATGTCTGCACATGGGAATGATCTGAAGCCCTTAAAAGAAGGCACTTCCTGCATCCAAACAGGAGACTGGCTAGAATGCCGACTGCGGTGGGGAACTACAAGAGTGGACTCTGAACTCCACCACAGAAGCTCCAGCCCACAGCATGGCTCACTGAGCACTGGTCCATATGGAAATCAAACCCATGAGGAAAGGTTCCTTCTCCTGTCCTTGTCCCCTGGCCTCAGGGCACCACAACTCAAGCCAGAGCCCATTGGCTAACCCTAGGGCTCTTCATCCTGATGCTCTTCCTCCTGTTTCTTCTTGGTCCTGGCCTCAGCGGGTGGTTGGGGGCTTCTGTACCCTGCTGTGGGTACCAATCTCCCTCCATGGTTTTTCTCAGAACCTACCTCCCTCCCTGTTTAAGATGACACAGCCTAAGTCACAGGGCTCAGACATAGACCACAGCAATGAGAAGAGAGTGGACACTACAGGGACTAACCTGGCCCAATCAAGAGCAAGAGGTCTTGCTGGCCTGGCCTGGCCCTGGGACTCTTCAGATGGCATTCTCGTGATTATGCACTTTCCCCTCCAAGTGACATTTGGACAGTAGGGACACAGAAAATGCCACCATGTTCATAAAGAATCTTTTTGTTTGTTTGGTTGGTTGGTTTTTCGAGACAGGGTTTCTCTGTGTAACTCCGGCTGTCCTGGAACTCACTCTGTAGACCAGGCTGGCCTCAAACTCAGAAATCCGCCTGCCTCTGCTTCCCAAGTGCTGGGATTAAAGGCATGCGCCACCACCGCCCTGCGTTCATAAAGAATCTTAACTAAGCACAGGAGGGGAAAAGTCTGGAGAGCTACTGCTGTCTCTCTAGACTCCAAAAGGAGATATCCTAACATGGCCAGTAGGAGGCTCTCCTGGGCAGAACTTCCTGATAGAACCTTTCTGATCATATCACATGCCTTGGCATAAACTTTGGGGAAATCAACATGGACTTCCAAAGAAGGGACTCTCCAGCAGCAGGTCTCTGTAGGCCAGGGTGCCTGCCCAGGTCAGCCTTCACGGGTCAGCCTGACACCTGCACTCATCAGCCTTCAGGTGTCATCAGCAGGACTGTGACGGACAGCTGCTGGCTGTTGTTGGTCTGTGGCCCCACGCAGCTTTCCCAGGAGTTCGTGGGCCCTTGCTGTTGGGCTAAGGGAGGCTGCAGGGAATAGACATTAGCCAGGCAGCTCTTGAACCTTACTCTTCCCATAACAGTGTCTGAGCAGCACACAGTCTGCAGGGTCGTAAGCCCTGGGAAACCAACTTTCATGAGCAAAAGTAAGGACATGCCAACATCAACATTACAGCAAGCATGAGAAACCACCCCTGAAGGCTTGTGTTTAATGGAACTGTCATAGTCTTCGAGGCCACGCACTCCTAACAACCTCTAACTTCCTCCCAAGGTACTGGACGAGCTCTCTTTGGGCATGTCTTCAAGCATTAGATTCAGCACGTTCGCAATCTCATAGTAGAACACCTGGAGCCTGGAAAGTAGAGCAGGAGAGAAAAACCTGAGGAGAAGCAGGCTCCATACCACCCTCCTCTCCACACACTACACACTGGCACGCCGAAGTCGCCATACCCACAGGTGTGTGTGGGATCGGAAGAGAACAAAGACTTCACGTAGGTTGGAATCCTGCATCTGTCACTCTGCTGAGGGCCCCTGGCATACGTGAAAACTCATCACCTGGGCTCTAAAGCAGGAAGAGGTGGACTATTCTTGGACCCAATGTGGACATTCCCTGGTCCTCTCCTTTTCGGCTACTCCAGTCTCTGAAGGATTTCCAGAAGGATTGCATCCAGAAGTCAGGCTTGTACTGTCTGCTCCTGCTCAGAAGCCCACAGTAGCTCCCTAAGTGGCCGAAGCTCTTCAGCTGCCAGTCAAAACCTCAACTAGCTGACCCTGAGACTAAGACCTGGATCAGGTATCTCTTGTCATTTAACTGGCCCAGTGGCTCCTTGGGTAACAGGCAGGAAAGGGGTGGATTCTCATTTAAAGTCACATGGGAATACAGTGGCAGAGCTAGCGTCCCCTGCATTTGACGTATTGCCCCATCCCACCAGGACCACCACATATACACTCCCTGACCCCTGGAAAGGGGACAGCAAGGGGTTAGCAAGCAGAGGCCTGGAGGGATAAAGGATCTGGTTACAACTGAATACAAATAAAAGAGAACCAGGAGGGCCTGCAGAGTCCCTTGTACCACAGGTCCATTCACACAGCAGCCCAGCACACATGGGATTCTGGACTCTCAGGAAAGGCCTTAGTGTACCCATCTGTCCTGCACCTTGGTCAGCAACCCTTCAACTTCCTGGAGTCTACCACATGCCCCGACCTTGAAGAAGCCACGAGGACCAGGAACTCACTTGCTGACAACAGTGTCCTGGTTATCCAGAGTGGACAAGTAGACATCGATGAAAGGGAGGCTCGTGCTGAAGTCATCCAGGACCATGGGGTCTGTGTGCCGCAGGGTCTTCTTGAAGTCTTCCACCATCTCAACGAAGTTCTTGCCACCAGTTACCTAGAGGCGGAAACAGTGAGAGAGAGATGGGTGAGAACAGCCAAGGTACACAGAGACCTGAGAACCATTCCCAAGAGTCACCAGCCCAGACCCCACAAGGATGACGGAGTCTCATGGGCCACCATCCTTGCTATGAGACCAAAGGGACAAGAAAATGTCTAAGGGTGACTCTGGGTGACCTCCCCCAACCCTGAACAAACCTTGGGCATAGCCAGACTGGCAGGCATCTCTGATTCAGAAAAGAGGCCAAGGGCAGGGGTGGCGGGATGCTCTGACAGACAAGAGACCCAACAGGAATCCCAAGTCAGACTAAGAACACGGGACAGAAAGGAAAAGTGCTGCCCACATGGCTGCACGCTTGGGACTTCGAGCCCATTGAGCTTATTGTTGTCCTGGCTTAGGTGTGTGGGATGTAAGAGAGTGATTCCCTGACAGCACCCTCATCTATATAATGGCCTGGAGTTGAGCTGCCAGGTACCAGACGAGCCCTCCATGAGAAGCTGCAGCACAAGTGAGCCCACCCGATGGACCCCACAGTAGAGAGCTATCCGCTAAGTAGAGAACTTTAGAAATGCAGTACTCACTCACCCAAATTATTTAGAGAAAGACAAACGCAGAGAGCAAAGCTTGGCTCCAGAGGCTACAGGGGAAAAGCCTGCTTTACCTAAAGCCAGGCATGCCTAAGCCCACCCACCCTCTATTTGAGTCCTCCTGGGCATGCCATTAGCCCTCACTGTGCCTCTGTGTCTGGTGTGCCATCCTACCGACAGGACCACCTACCTGTGTGTTCATCAGTCTGTTGACCTCCTCCTGCTGGCGTTTCAGGATTATCTGCTTCTCCTCCATAATCGCCAAGTTTCTCTCCAACGTCAGATCCCGCTCAAACTTTTTGATGGAGTCCTAACACGGCAGAAGTCAAGATTGTGTCCCCTATACCCGTCCCATCCCAAGCCCTTCCCCTTGCCTAGCTTGCCCTGCTACTCAGGCCTCAGCAGAAAAGCCCACTCCACACAGGGCCAGCCCCCAACTCCAGCTGCCGCCTACAACGGTTTCTTAAGTTCCACTGGTCTGCTGCCCTCCATCATGAGGCGATGAACTTGTAGGCTTGGGTACCCATGAGAGGGGGCCATTTCGTTACCTCTACACCACTTCATAAGACACAATTCCAGCTTGTCCAAGAAACCTGGCCATACCTGTCACTCCTAACCTGAGCCATGGGTACACACACGTACACACGCACACACGCACGTACGCACATATTACACGTCCTCACCTCCGTGTGCATGATCATCACACCCACAAACATGTTGAGGAAGATGAAGGAGGCAAGCAAGATGAAGAGGATGGTAAAAGCCCGGCTTATAGTAAATTTCCGCTTGTCCAGCTCCTCCTGCAGGTTTGTCCAGCCATCAACCTGGTCAGGCAAGACAAGGTATACTGAGTACCAAGGCCCAGCAAAATAGGTTTTCATATCACTTATGCCAGGGTAGCACTGACCCCACTGAGGCCAACTCAGCCTCCATTCCAGTCCTTCAGCACCTCCTCATTCACTGGCTATCCTGTCTACACAGAGGCTCAGAAATGTAGGGTGCCATTAGGTGAGGGCCAGCATGCCTATGGGAGTCTCTTCTCTCAAGGTCTCCCATTTTCTCCTAAAAGGCACGGCCTATTTCCAGGTCCGTTTTTGAAGGAAAAAAAAAAAACAAGACACATATATATTTTTAAAATATCTCTCTTTATATTATTCAAAAGTTTAGAGCTTGAGGCTTGGGCTTTGCTTATTCTGGGTGGATTTGTGACAGCTTAGGGGGTTTTTGTTTTGTTTTGTTTTGTTTTAAAACAAGCTGTATGCTATGGACTCTATTTATAACTTAAGGTTAATCCAAATTAAGTATCATTTGAGAAGGTTTTCAAGTTTTATTACCCTGTACAACACATGGAATGGCTTATAAAATCACGGAATTATAGAAAGAAACAGAACACACTGGCTTCTGACCAGTCCTAGCAAGCCAAGTCCCAGCTCTCCTGTACCCAAGTAGTAAGCACCTGAACATGGAGAAGGTCCCAGGGAGGCCCAGCCTGAACACTTGCTCTCCCTTCCTGGACAGTCCCTTCTTCAGATTCCAACCCTACCAGGGTTTCCAAGCACAGTACCGTGGCCAAACTGAAGAGAGTGAAGAAAGCTGCAGCCAGGTTCCCCCAGTTTTCCAGGTCGCCTCTCTCCGTCATGCCAAACAGGCAGAATCCCAGGATCGCGAACACAAACATGAGGAGGAAGAGCAGTGTCAGCACAGAGGCCACAGTGTAGACCGTCTCCCCCACAGCAATGATGAGCGTCTGCAAGGCAGGGAGACCAAGGCTGGATAACAGCTTCTGCTTAACCCACTCCAGAACATATGGGGCCATCCTCCCCAGCTCACAGCTACCCTCAGGACCTCAAGCTATGCCTGGTACATAGTAGATGTTAAATAAGTATCAGCAGGATGAATGAGTGAATGAGTGAAATGAATGAATGAGTGGATGATCAGAATTGGGCCCAGACTGAGGGCTGTACCAGTCTCACAGTGGCACCCATCTTGTGTCATGGGCTAACTGTACACACTACGTCAGGTCTGGGTCGCCTTTTCCTCAGCCCCACTGATCTCGCTGCTTGAATCCAGTCTGACTCTGTGGTCATCCCTGGATACTGCATTTGGGCTTCTCAGCTAAGAGCTCGTCCTAAATGTTCATCCCCCCAAGTCTAGGAGGAGTAGGGACACCACCATGTACCTGAGGATAGAGAGAGCCAAGAGGAAGTGGCTCCCCACTCTTTCTGGGCCTGGCCTCACAGGCAGCTCCCCATCCCATGACCTGAATCTCCCTCCTGTAAAACAGGTAACTACCTCGCCCTGCCCCCCTTGTCCAGCCCTGGAGAGCCAAATGCATTCATCGTTCAGCTGCCGTGTCTTAAGATTTTTCACTGAGTAAGTGCTTTGTGAACATTGAGCTACTAAGAATGTTTTCATAGACTGTGGTGGTTTAAATTAGAATGGCCTAGACAGGCATGGTGAGGCGTGGCTTTAATCCCAGCACTCTAGAGGAAGATCTCCAAGAGTTCAAGTCAACCTGAGAAACCCTGTCTCAAAAAAAAAATTACATACATATATACATACATACATACATACATACATACATGCATACAATATATATACATATTTATTATATATATGTATTATATACATATATGTGCATGTATATAATTTTTTGAGACAGGGTTTTTTTGTTTGTTTTTGTTTTCTTTTGTTTTGTTTATTGAGACAGGGCTTCTCTGTGTAGCCCTGGCTGTCCCGGAACTCACTCTGTAGACCAGGCTAGCCTCAAACTCTCGAACTCAGAAATCCCCCTGCCTCTGCCTCCCAAGTGCTGGGATTAAAGGCGTGAGCCACCACTGCCCAGCTGAGACAGGGTTTTTTTTAGAATGAATATATATATATATATATTCACCAGGGAAGAAAACTCTTTGAAAGGATTAGAAGGATTAAGAGGCATGGCCTTGCTGAAGAGGTATTTCACTGGGGATGGGCTTTGAGGTTTCAAAATCCCAAACAAGAATCTCTCTTTCTGCCTATAGATCAGGATGTAGCTCTCAACTTCTCCAGTACCATGTGTGCTGTTGCCATGTTCTCCACCATGATGATAACAGACTAACCCTCTGAAACTGTAAGCAAGTCCCCAGTTCAATGTTTTCTTTTTATAAGAGTTGTCTTGGTCATGGTATCTCTTCATAACAATAGAACATTGACTAAGACAGAAGTTGATGCCGGGCAGTGGTGGTGCACTCCTTTAATCACAACACTTGGAAGGCAAAGGCAGGTGGATGTCTGAGTTCGAGGCCAGCCTGGTCGACACAGCAAGTTCTAGGACAGTCAGGGCTACAAAAAGATATCTGCCAAAAAAAAAAGACAAAAGTTGGTACCAGGGACTGGGGTACTGTTGTGACAGGCCTGATCATACTGGTTTATGGAGGAATATGGAAGACTTTGGGACTTTGGACTGGAAAAAATGGTTTGACACTTTAAGTGGGGTTTGATGGGCAGTCTTATTAGGATCATGGAAGGCAGTCTGAGAGCAATTTGAACTATGGAGGCCCAGCTCAAGAAATTCCAGAGGGAAAGAATATTAATAAATGGCCTACAACCCCTTCTTTTACTATTTTGGCAAAGAATATGGCTTCTTTTTTGCCTTTGTCCTAATATTCTGACTGAGGCTAAATTAAAAAGGGAAGGCAGAGTAGTGGGGAGTGGGGTGGTTGAAAAAAATGGCCACATTAATCTCCTTGACAGAGGCGATTTCAAGACTGTCTACTATTGAGTGTGCCATATGGTTACTAGTAGTCACTCTTAGGAAGATCTGTAATGAAAAGCAGCAGATGGGGGAGGAGAAATACAAAATGCACAGTCTGAAGAAAACGGAGCACCAGCAAGTGCAATGGAGCTGAGCTTAGTGCTCGGGAAGATAAGACGTTTAAAGAAAAGCCTGGTGCTAAATGGAATAAAGGGAGCGGTGACCTCGGGACGAGACCCTGGCTAGATAAGCTTCTAACCTGTGGGGAAAAAAAAGAGAAAAGCTTTGACAGTGAAGGAAACCATTGGAAACAGGAAGCTGAGGGGCTGGAGAGATGGCTCAGTGGTTAAGAGTACCAACTGCCCTTCCACAGGTCCTGAGTTCAATTCCCAGCAACCTCATGGTGGCTCACACTATCTGTAATGGGATCCAATGCCCTCTTCTGGTGTGTCTGAAAAAAAAGGCTACTCATATAAACATAACAAATACATCTTTTTTAAAAAAGAAAGCAAGAAGCTGATCAAATGTATTTGAACAAGGAGGCCATGTTCCAGCTCCACCAGGCAGCAGAGCTTGGCAGCTTCAGCCCCATGGTTCTGTCTTTAGAGACAAGGCTACAAGAAAGGGGTTATAGAATCTTCCTCCGCAGGCAAGGAAAGCTACTGAAGCCAGGCATGTGTCAGAAGTGTCCCTGCATGGAGGCCCAGAGAGGCCATTGTATGAAGAAAGGCCATTGAAGATGAGGCCTGAATAGCCGTGGAGACTCCAAGATGTTGGAGATGCCAAAGCCATGCAATACCTGCCAAGAAGAGCTCCTAACAAAGTGTAGGACCAGCCCAAAAGAGAAAACGGTGTTGCAGTCATCAAAGCTGAAAAGAGTTGGAGATCTGAAGAACCTTTGCCATCAGACGTAGAGATGCAGAGTTTGGAGTTCACCCGGCTGGTTTTTGGTCTTGCTTTGGCCCAGTATTTCCTCAGTCTGCTCCTTTTCCTCCCTTTTGGAATGGTGATTATATCCTGTGTCATTGTATGTTGCAAGTATGTGATCTGCCCTTTCAACTTTGCTTTGACTGAGAGTATAGAGTTAAGAGTTTGCCGTGAGTCTCAGATGAGACCTTGAACTTTGGAGTTTTAAACAATGTTGAGGCTGTGATGGACTGTAAGGACTTTGAAGTTGGACTGAATACATTTTTGTATTATAATACAAGCCTATGGGAACCAGGAAGTGAAATGTAGTAGTTTGAATAAGAAAGTACCTCATAAGTTCATATATTTGAATATTTAGTCACCAGGGAGAGAAACCCTTTGAAAGGATTAGAAGGATCGGGAGGTGTGGCTTTGTTGGAGAAAGTAAAGCCCATGTCAGGAAGTCTCTCTTTTTGCCTGTTGATCAGAAGGTAGCTCTGAGCTAATTCTCTAGCATCGTGCCTGCCGTACCTGTTGCCATGTTCCTGCCTTGATAATGGACTAACTCTCTGAAACTGTAAGCCACTCACCAATTAAATGCTTTCTTTTATAAGTATTGCCTTGGTTATGGTGTCTCTTCACATCAATAGAACAATGGCTAAGACATAATTTCAAAGTAGTAGGCTAGTATCAGGATGAAGGGTCACAGGCTTAGAGAACCAGCTCATTCTGGCCACAGTACAATACACTGACAGAATGAGGAGTGATTAGTAAACTCTTTCCCTGATGCCACCACCTCCAACCACCAGTGTCTCTGAGTACAGTGACCCTTAAGACTGGCTTAGCACTAGGAAGGCATCTTGGAGCTGAACACAGAGGGGTAAGGGCTGAATCATGGGGATATTCTAGACCGTAGAAAGATCAACTCAGAGAAATATGCTGCTCTACATCCCCCTGGGGAATAAGCCTAATGCTTCCAGAGTCATTCTGAAAGAACTGGGAGGTTTGTAATTGCCTGTCTCCTTGCTAGGCAGGCACAGGACTTTTCATGCTGTTATGGACTTCCTCCCACAGTCTCATGCCTTTGGGCTTAATAACTGGCTGGTTGGCTTTTTTTTGAAGTGGCCATCTCCTAAGATCTTCACACATCCCTATCCCTTCCTTCCAGGAAGCACTGTAGCACCTGGCTCTAGCCTACGAACAAGGTGTCTGAAGCAAAAACTTGTTGAGACTTGGTGTTCCCTTAGAGCATTTCCTCTGGTGCTGAGGACTTCTGTTCTGCTTTCTCAGCTGGCTAGGACTCCTCATTGCAAGAACCCAGTCAAAGGCTGGAAGTAGCAGGAATGAAGAGCTATAGACAAGTCCATAACTATTCAGGTCTTGTGTCTTAGAGTTTTACTGCTGTGAACAGACACCATGCCCAAGGCAAGTCTCAAAAATGACAATATTTAATTGGGGTTGGCTTACAGGTTCAGAAGTTCAGTCCACTATCATCAAGGTGGAAGCATGGCAGTGTCCAGGCAGGCATGGTGCAGGCGGAGCTGAGAGTTCTGCATGTTCATCTGAAGGCTGCTAACAGAACACTGACTTCCAGGCAGCAGGGATGAGGGTCTTATAGCCCACACCCACAGTGACACACCCACTCCAACAAGGCCACACCCACTCCAACAAGGCCACACCC